GTGGCATATACCTGTCATCCCAGTTAAAGCACAAAATGGATCACAGTCCAGGACAGCCCGGACAAGACCCTATCTCCAAGATAACCAGAGCAAAAAGAGCTGGAGACATGACTCAAGCAGTAGAGTGCTTGCCTAGCAAGTAGAAAACCTTGAGTTCAACCTCAATACCACCACAAAACAAAAAAATGATTCAAACTATAGCAGAATATGAATACATTTTCATGACTACAGAAGCCACTCATAAAACAACAAACAGCATCATATTTTACTCTTGAAACGTTGTTGTTTTCCCATCAAAATTAAGGACAAGGAAAGGTTGCAATTATCACCTGTTACTTAACATTGTGCTACAACTTCTCACCAGTGTTACAAGAATGGAGGTAAAAATAAAAGAGCTGGTGTAGAGGAGCCAAAATCATGGCTATACAGAAATGAAAATCAAAGATGATACACTTAAAATAATAGCTTACTTGATAGAAGCTTTTAATATGATGAATAGACCACAAGATATGAATAATAGCTTTTGTAGGTACCAGCAATTGTGAGTTATAAAATATTATAGGAAAAGAAGTATTCAGAAAAGCAACAAATAATATTAAATACCTAAAACTACTTTCATCATAAATATGTGTCTTTCAAGAAGTCACTACACAACTTTATGAAGAGAAAATCTTTCATGGACAGTATCAGAAATAGGAAATAAGTATACCGACTATTATAAAGAATGAATTCTAGGTCAGGCATTTTGGTGCATGCTGTAATCTCAGATACTTTAGAGGCAGAGCAAGAAGGATCACTGTCTGAGGCCAACCTGGACCAATGTGTGAGCCCCCGTTTAAAAACAAATTGAAGCAAATATGACTGGTTGCATCGCTCAAGTAGTGCAGCACTTTCCTAGCTGCCTGAGGTGCTGAATGCAAACCCCAATACATCACTCAAAAATAATAAGAATAAATCCTCTCCCAAATAATTTCTAATCTTAAAATGATTCTAAGCAAAATCTTAATTTTGGAACCTAACAAAATTATTACCACTTCATCTGGAAAAGTAAAAACAAGCAAACGAGGATACCTAAGAAAATCTTGGAAAGATTTTGTTTCATGGACATTAATTGGAATAGTGTGGAATCAATGAAAAGCCAACAAACCATTGGAACAGATAAAATATTCCTGAAACAGACAGTAATATTTATAAGAAATTTATATGAAATAAAATAATAAGGAATGCTTAATTTGGAAAACCATGAGAAAAATACCAAATTACAACCTCACATCATACAAAATTAGTTTGAGAAAAGATGAAAGATTTGGTGTTAATAATTAACTCACTTAAAAATCTAAGAGAATACCTTTAAACTTCACCTAACCTACAGAGAGCAAGGATTGAAAACTTAAATCATAGGAATAAAAAAATATTGTGCTGGAAAACAAAGCAAAAAATCAAAAATGAATGTGAAAGCATATATGTAACTATGCACATACTGAAATAAATGAGAAAACCTTGACATCCTGCCAATAACAAAAAGGGAGCAGACATTGAAGACAATACTCTCTCTGATGAAATTGACTGATAAACTTATGGAAAAATTTTTCTTTTCTAATTTCCATGGTAAATTATAATTGAGATTATTCACCTTTTAACATTCATTTAAAATGACTCAGCATTTATGAAAACATAAAAAGGAGTATTACTTACATGCACTATAGCAAGGTAGTAAATCTGTATAGCTGTCATGAAGGATAGTTTGTTGCTATGAGTTCCTTAGATATTTTTCTAACTTTTAACCCAGTAATCATTTCAACATTTAAGAATTTGTACTAAAAATTATCATACATGTACAAATATAAGGAGCCTATTTAATTTATCAACTTGTAGAGTGTATTTGAATAATAAAAAGTCTTCTTTTAATAGTTGTTAATTTAACTAACACTTGTTTGCTTACAATCTTCTGCTATATAAATATGTTTATAAATTTTGGACTTTTCCACTCACATTTCAGAATCTTTACTAGTATTTGTGATATCACCACCATCACTTTAGTCCTCACAACAATGATTTTATTAAAGTACTTGCTTTATATAGTATTTCAGATTACATACTGTTATCATAACAGTTGACCAAACTATAGTTAACTGGTGCAGTTTGCTGAGCTTGTTTTATATAGCCTCATTTTTTTTCAGATTGCCCAAAGATTTTATTTTATTGTTCTTTTTTTATTCATATATGCATACAACGTTTGGGTCATTTATCCCCCCTTACCCCTGCTCCCTCCCTTACCCACCCTCACCCTCGCTACCCGGCAGAAACTATTTTGCCCTTATCTCTAATTTGTTGAAGAGAGAGTATAAGCAATAATGGGAAGGACCAAGGGTTTTTGCTAGTTGAGATAAGGATAGCTATACAAGAAGTTGACTCGTATTGCTTTCCTGTGCATGTGTGTTACCTTCAAAGTTAATTCTTCTCGAACTAACCTTTTCTCTAGTTCCTGCTCCCTTTCTCCTATTGGCCTCAGTTGCTTTAAAGTATCCACCTTAGTTTCTCTGCGTTGAGGGCAGCAAATGCTATCTAGTTTTTTGGGTGTCTTACCTATCCTCATACCTCCCTTGTATGCTCTCACTTTATCATGTGATCAAAGTCCAATCCCCTTGTTGTGTTTGCCCTTGATCTAATGTCCTCATATGAGGGAGAACATACGATTTTTGGTCTTTTGGGTCAGGCTAACCCACTCAGAATGATGTTCTCCAGTTCCATCCATTTACCTGCGAATGATAACATTTCATTCTTCTTCACGGCTGCATAAAATTCCATTGTGTATAGATATCACATTTTCTTGATCCATTCCTCAGTAGTGGGGCATCTTGGCTGTTTCCATAGCTTGGCTATTGTGAATAGTCTGCAATAAACATGGGTGTTCTGGTGCCTCTGGAGTAACCTGTGTCACAGTCTTTTGGGTATTGCTGGATCATATGGTAGATCAATGTTTAGATTTTTAAGAAGCCTCCAATTTTTTTTCCTGAGTGGTTGTACTAGTTTACATTCCCACCAGCAGTGTAAGAGGGTTCCTTTTTCCCCACATCCTCGCCAACACCTGTTGTTAGTGGTGCTGCTAATGATGGCTATTCTAACAGGGGTGAGGTGGAATCTTAGTGTGGTTTTAATTTGCATTTCCTTTATTGCTAGGGATGCTGAGCATTTTTTCATTGTTTTTTGGCCATTTGAATTTCTTCTTTTGAGAAAATTCTGTTTAGTTCACTTGCCCATTTCTTTATTGGGTCATTAATTTTGGGAGAATTTAGTTTTTTGAGTTCCCTATATATTCTGATTATCAGTCCTTTGATGTGTAGCTGGCAAATATTTTCTCCCATTCTGTAGGTGTTCTCTTCAGTTTAGAGACCATTTTTTTTGTTGAGCAGAAGCTTTTTAGTTTTATGAAGTCCCATTTATCTATGCTATCTCTTAGTTGTTGTGCTGCTGGGGTTCCATTGAGAAAGTTCTTGCCTATACCTATTAATTCCAGAGTATTTCCTACTCTTTCCTGTACCAACTTTAGAGTTTGTGGTCTGATATTAAGATCCTTGATCCATTTTGAGTTAATATTGTTATAGGGTGATAAATATGGATCTAGTTCCAGTTTTTTGCAGATGGCTAACCAGTTTTCCCAGCAGTTTTTGTTGAAGAGGCTGCTATTTCTCCATTATATATTTTTAGCGCCTTTGTCAAAGACAAGTTGGTTATAGTTGTGTGGTTTCATATCTGGGTCCTCTATTCTGTTCCACTGGTCTTCTTGTCTGTTTTTGTGCCAGTACCATGCTGTTTTCATTGTTATTGCTTTGTAATATAGTTTGCAGTCGGGTATCGTGATACCTCCAGCGTTGTTCTTTTGACTGACTATTGCCTTGGCTATTCGTGGCCTCTTGTGTTTCCATATAAATTTAACGGTAGATTTTTCAATCCCTTTAATGAATGTCATTGGAATTTTGATGGGAATTGCATTGAACACGTAGATTACTTTTGGGAGTATAGACATTTTTACTATGCTGATTCTACCAATCCATGAGCATGGGAGATCTCTCCACTTTCTATAGTCTTCCTCAATCTCTTTCTTCAGAAGTGTATAGTTTTCCTTGTAGAGGTTGTTCACATCCTTTGTTAAGTTTACACCTAGGTATTTGATTTTTTTTTGAGGCTATTGTAAATGGAATTATCTTCATATATTCCTTCTCAGTTTGTTCATTATCAGTAGCCTCATTTTTTTCATTGTTTTCATGGTACTGCAGCTTGACCTCGGGGCCTTGTGCTTGCTGGGCAGGTGCTCTGGCACTTGAGCTATGCCCCTGGCCCTAGATTCACTTTTTAAGCCTCACAGTTTTTCAGGCATACAACTTCATAATTTGGACATTCAGCTCTTTTCCTATTTGTGAGATGCTACCTTGGGAAATTTTATCACAAGTCACAAATATTGGTTCACATGATATTAGTAGAGCTTGTATTTAACCTTTTCCCAAGGGGTAGATATTTTTAATCTCTGTAATGAAACTTCTTATGTGACTTTTTATAGAGCCCTTTAAAAGGCTGGGCTTACCTTGGTACTTAATATTTGAAACTGTAAGTCCATACCTTTCAAAAATAATTTCTAAAAGTGTGTAAAAAAATTTTTACTACTTCTGTCAGGTGACAACTAAAAATATCTAAGACTAAAATTCATCATGGTTATTTAAGGTTAATATGTCTACACCAAACGTTACATTTTCTTCAAAAGACAGTAACTGAAGAATAGTTTCCAGCTATCTTTAGGTTGTGATATTTGGGGTTCTTTTTATTATTTTCTTCATTCAGTTCCCTGAATCCCCATCTAACTAGATAAATTTAGAGTAGATTTTTAACAAGTGAAGAGGAGAAAGGGGCAATAATAAACATGATGACTGAACCCTGTAACGTCTCATAGTATCACTCCATGTTGACCCATTCTCTCACAATGTCTTTGTCTTTTCTACCTACAGTCTTTCTTTGTGGACCACAATAGTCGAGCAACCACTTTCATTGACCCCCGAATCCCTCTTCAGAATGGTCGCCTTCCCAATCATCTGACTCATCGGCAGCACCTGCAGAGGCTCCGGAGTTACAGTGCTGGAGAGGTAACCCTCCTCATGCCCCTGAATAAATGCTCACAGGGCATAGTGTCTGCTCGTCTGTGGAACCAGAACTGCTTCTTAGTGACTGGGATCTAGGGGTACCTCCTTGGTGACAGACAAAGCCATATGCAAACTGCACTCTAGGAGAATGAATGACCACTGTAGAGCACCCACTTAACTCCCTAGATCTGTCATCACTCTAGGAGAATGAATGACCACTGTAGAGCACCCACTTAACTCCCTAGATCTGTCTTCAGATTACCTTTCTTCTGTTCTTCCTTTTGTTCAAATCATCACTACTAAAAAAATCTGACTAGTTTAAAGAAAACTGAAGATGCAGTGTCAGAAGGTCCCTACATTTACAGCTATCAGCAGGTGTGCTTCCTGAGGCCTAGCAGTCATAAGTAAGTGAATACTGATAACACCATAGAATTGCTGACTTTAAACTCTTCAAAATATCATGGGAAAGGCTGCAATAATGTATACCTATATTAAAAACTGGAGGAAATTAATCAGAATACCCTATTCCCATCCTATGTGCTCTTCCCTAGTTTTATACCTTCTCTTACTGCCTGTGGTTACCAGTCGCAATGAAGGGCTGCTGTCTTTCTCAAGTATCACTTTCATTGACTTTCTGAATCAGTTTCTGTATCCCTACCCCTTCCTGTCCCCCTTTCTCGTGCCAAAACTCAAAATACAGCTGTTTTCTAATTCCAGTCATTCCTAAGTATATTATGAGCCAATCTTTTTTTATGTCCTGATTTGTTTCTAAAGTATTTGGGCTCTATCTTCATAGAGACCACCAGGATCCCAGGAGGTGTAGGCTGAGAACCATTTCTCATAAAATAGTCCTTGGTTCAATAACCCAAATACAATTCATTGAATATCTACTGTAATAGCAAAGTGCCATCAGTGTCAGCTGAGAATTAACTGAAGGACTAACACGTTTCATAATAATGAGAGGGCACTAATGTGTGCCAGCTGTCTATTTCTTCATGTACTCACTCCCAGTTCATCAGATTCTCAGATGTCACCCATCTGTATGCCCATCCCTTCTCTTTGGTGGCATTGGAACAGGGGACACATCAAGAAAAGCAGAAGATCCTGGGAGGTAGAGGATATATGACATAAGCAGCATGCCAGAGAAAACAAAGACTCAGCCTCTAAGAAAACAAATATCTTCTTCCTTCAGGAGCCCACAGCTTGGGGACTGAGGAGACAGGAGGGACTCTGGTATAAAAAGAGAGGATAGGGTGGACTAGAAAATGTTGACTATGTTTGTTGTAATGTGGTTTTGCTCAACAAATATTGATTTAGTGCATTGCTTACTGTGAGCACTGTGGAAAACAAAGAAGTATGAGATAATCCCTGCCCTGGAGAAGTCTGTATTCTATTTTTGAAGCAAGGCTAAAAATACAGAGTTGAGTAGGAGCAATCAGAATATGATTATCAGCTTTGGACTATGACTCTCAAGGACACCATGGTCTTTAGTGTGTCTGTCTCTTGGATGTCGTGCAGGATGATGTGGGCTGTAATAATTGGGATTAGTGAAGTTCTGCTGCAGTAACAAACAAGACCCAAATCTCCCTGACTTAACAAAGTGAAGAGAAAACAAAAATGAAAGTTTTTTTTTTCTCACTTAAAAAAAAAAGAATATGATTGAGTGCCAAGAGAGATGTAAGGACAAGTGCCATAGAAGTTCAAAAGAGGCCAACAATAGGTATCTTTTGAAATAATGTATCTGACCTAGTACTTGGAATTGGTAGAATCTAGATAGGTACAAAGGAAGAGCAACTGCACATCACAAGCATGGGCACAGGTGCAGGGGTAGGACTGTGAGCAATCTGTACCAGCAAGTCTCCACTGGTCATGTCTTGGTTTCTGGAAAACTTTGAATGCCACATAGAAGAACGAGCAGTCTTTAAAGATATATTGAATGGATTTGAGAAAAGTAAGATGATGATTTTTGTGTAAAAACTTGACTTTAGAGACCATTCTACCAATTGTTTCTCTACCAGAATTGGGGGAAATACAATTCTCTGATGTGTGGAACTGGCCCCCTGCATTGCAGAACCTGTACTTCTTCCTGATCCTATCCATTAAGTTTCAAGAGTACCCTCATCCCAACAGTCATGATGACAGTGAAAACAAAGCAAAACTAAATCAAATCAAAAAGCTCTGTGTTTAGCAGTTAGCATGCTTCCTCAGAAAATCAGAACCAATAGCACAGATAAATGAGTTCTTGGATAGACAGGTGTTAGATACATACATACATACATACATATATATATATATAGAGAGAGAGAGAGATGGGAGGGGATTTATTATGGGATTGTGTTCATGTGATTATAGAGATGAGAAATTGTCCATGATATACTGTCTGAGAACTGGAGAACAAAAGAAGCTGGTGGCACAGCTCAATCCAGATCTGAAGCCCTTGGATAAGAAGAGCCAGTGGTATAACTCTCAGTCCAAGGCTGAAGGTTGGAGAACCTCAGTTCCTAGATACAAAGCCTCTAGTACAAATCCCAGCTTCAGAAAAGAGACAGTGAATTCACCTTTCTTCTGCCCTTTTTGTTCTATCTGGTTCCTCAACCAACTGGATAGGGCTACTCACAACTCCCATTAGGTGAAGATAGACGTTCCTTACTCCATGATTTCTATGTCAATCTCTTTCAGAAATAACCTCATATACATGCTTAGAAATAATGCTTACCAGCTACTTGGTATCAGATGGGCTAATCAAATTGACACCTAAAATTAATAAATATAGCACCCCAGTATTCCCAAACACTCCAAAATGGTAGAACTTCCCTGGTTAATAATTATATTTTAGGGGGACGGGGGCATAGCTCAGTAGTAGAGTATTTGCCTAGCATGCAGAAGGTCCTGGATCCAGTCCCCAGCACCACAAAAAAAAAATCTTATTTTACAGTTAAGTAAACAAAAGAGCTCAAGTCATACAAGCAGAACAGGACCACAGATCACATTTCCTCACTCCCAGTCTATGAAAGCTAAAAAGAGTAAGGATTTTGGTGAAAAGGGATTTGTGAGAAAGTGAGACCTGTTAGGGACTGCTGCCACAGTCCGGGTATAGGTGATGGGGTCTTATAGCCAAAGGTTGATGTGGTAAAGACTTGGTCCCCAGGTTGTTGCTATTGGGAGATAGTGGAGTCTTCAAGAGTTGGGGTCTAAAACCTGAGAATGTAGCTCAGTAGTAGATGCATGCTTAGCAGGCACAAGACTATGTTCGATCCCTAGCACCCTCAGATAAGATTAGGGTTTAGTGGGAGATGTTTAGGTCATTAGACACATGCCCTTGAATGAGATCATGGAAACCCTGCCCCCTCCTTGCCCTCTTTTCATTCCTGGACATGAGGTAACTAGTCTTGCTTCAACACACACTCCCACCATGATATGTTGCATCACCATAGGCCAAAAACAATGGCCCAATTGGCCATAGATAGGAATATACAAAACTACCAGGAAAAAATAAACCTTTTCTCTTTATAAGTTAATTATCTCAGCTATTTTTATAGAAATGGGAATCTGACTAACACAAGGCCCCAAATCAAGGTGGCGAAGAAACAGAAAACAAAGGACACCCTGTGAGAAGCTTCAGGGAAGTTGAGAGATGTGGATGAAAGTTAACAGGGACTTCAGACAGCAGATGGAGTCCCAGCTCCGGCTTCTCCATAGGGGAGCTGTTTATCATTGCACATTCCTTTCCTTGTTGAAGACCTCAGTTTCCTCATCCACAGATGGCTGCCAAAGTCAGTCCCAGCTACATGATTCTGAGAGTGTGAGGCTTGATTACATATTCTCAGGACCATGTCATTAACACCACAGAATGAACAGGAAAGCCAGAGGGCTGGCAGGATTGTCGGGAGAAAATAAAAGCTAGTAGCTACTGAGGAGGCTGACCAACCCAAGCAAACTATGGCCAGCCCATATCCAAAATAACCCGAGCAAAATGCACTGAAAGTGTGACTCAAGCAGTAGATCCCCTGCTTTGCAAGTGAAGCCCTGAGTTCAAACCCCAGTCCCACTAAAAAACAAAAGAAATTACAGAAATAATAGATTCAAGAATAATCAATGAGTTCTTTCCATAATCAATGATTTCTTTTCTGTCTCTTAGACTACAACTTAAATACTTATATTTTCTGCTCACCTATATAAGCCTCTCTCTCCCTCCCTCTCTCCCTCTCTTTCTCTCTCTCTCTCTCCTCTGTCTCTCTCTCTCTCTCTCCCTCTCTCTCTCCTTCCCTGCCTTCCAACCTTCTTGCTTCTCTCCCTCCCTCCCTCCGCAGAGTCTTGCTATGTAGCACAGGCTGGCCTCAAGCTCCAGAGCCTCCTGCCTCCATTTCCTAAGTGCTGGGATTACAGGCATGAACCACCATGCCCAGCTTCAGCCATTCTCTTGAGTGTTGCTTAGCAATTGACTATTTTATAAATTGTACTTGAGGGCATAGTTAAAATCAGTTTCCTAAAGGATAAAAGTTTTACTTTAAAACCCCAAAGAGTATTAATTAAAACACTGCTAAACATCTTTATTATCCTTTACCTTACCTGGCAAATTTTCAGGCAGATTCCTGAATACTTTTAGCAGCAATTTAGGATTTATGCATAAAAATATCATTATTTAATATTTTGACTAATGTTGACATCTATCTGCAACATATTTAAGAACCAACAAAGTACAGTTTCTCCCTTCTTATAATGTCTGGTGGAAGTGGAAACAGACAAATGACAGGACATGCAGGCCATGAATACCAGCTCTCCAGTCCCTACTGCTGAAGGTTAGCAACGTGGTTTATACCACAATTAAGCATGTCAATTAACATTAATAAAGTATGATACATGGAACACATCGTTTTTATTTCTCTTACCACCTTATCTTGGTTAAGGTGGAAGATCACTACTCATAGAGGAAATCTGTAAGATACACACAAAACAGCTTAATGGTGATTGCTTCAGGAGAGGGCAATAAGCCTGGCAGTGGA